CTCTTGTCTATCATAGACAGATATATATAATCATAGATAGGATGAGATAGAGAAGTGTAAATCTATCAGATAGATAAGCAGATATGGATTTATTCTGTGTGTTTGTGTGTCGTAATGTATGACTATTTAAAAAACTGGTTATTAGCTTGTAGTTATGATAATTATTCATTTATGTTTATGGTTATTTCTGGTGTCTGTTCGTGAAATTTGGGAAGTTATTTGTGATGTCAAGTTGTTATTTTTATTATTATTTATAATGCTGATTTTAGTCTCATTTACACTTGTACAGAATTATTTTTGTAGTGATTTACATATATATAAAATAATGCATAATGTGCATAAAATATTTTATTATTTTCACGATTTAGTCCACAATTATATGAGTTATTTACATATATATAAAAGAATGTATAATGTATTTTTTTATTATTTTCGCGATTTAGTCTACAATTATATATAATATCAATTTACTCTTTACATGAATATTTAATCCCGTTCAGTACAGTCCTTGCTACGCCTCACGTACCAGTTTGTATGACGTTCGTGAGTGTGAATGAAGCCGTCGAGAGATGTTTATTAAGGTATGAAAGACGTACTTCCAGTTTCGTGAGCTCGGGGGGGGGGCGCGCTGTGGGGGGGGGGGGGGGGGGGGGGCGGGGGGGGGCGGTGGTGGCGGCGAGTAGGGTTGGTGCGGCGGTCGTCGAGGAGGAGGAGTCACGGGAGGGGGCCGGGAGTAGGCTGTGGGGGATTTGGGGTGGGGGATGCGTGGGGTAGATGTGGAGGGGGGTGGGGGGGGTGGGGGGAGGTATACGGGGGGTTAGACGGAGGGGGGGGGTAGGTAGGTCGGGTAATCCTCGGCGGGGTTTCGGGGGTGGTGAAGTAGAAACGTAACAACCTATACTACCTCCCTTCCTCCTCATCCTCCTCGCTCAGTCCTACCACATTACTCTTCTTCAACTCCCTCGCTCTCCCTCCTCCTACCTCTTCCGTCTCTCCTCCGTTCCTCTCGTCTCCTCCGCTTTGGCCCGTTCTTTAGCCTTCAGGACTTCCTGCGTCTGCGTAGGCGTTCTGTGCCCCCGCTCTACGATACCCCCGTCTCTGTGCGTGCCCCATCTCAAGGCCTCTCTGCCTCTCTCCCATATCCCGTCTCTTCACCGCCTCTCTCCCTTTTCCCCCCTCTCCTCCCCTCTTTCCCTTCTTCCATCCTCTCTCCCCTCTCTCGACCCCGACTCAGTATCCTCAGTCAACCCCCCTCTCGGTTTCCCTCTTTCCCCAATTACCCTCTCCTCTCTCCCCCTCTCCCCCTTCCCACCTTTTCTCACCCTCTCGCCCTCTCCATCCTTCTTCTCCCCTTCCCACTCTCGACGCTTCTCCCTCTTCCCCTCCTCCCTGTCCCTCTTTCAACCCTCTCTCCCTCTTCCTCCTCTCTCCCCTCTCCCCCTCTCCATCCCCCCCCCCCCCGATAGAGGGGGATAACCAGGGAACTGAATTTTTACGAATATGTATAAAAAAAAGGAGAGAAAGTTATGATTTTATGGTCCTTTATTTTTCCGTAATTTCTAAAAGCAAAAACCGAAGAGGTGGGATTTTTTGTTGTCAGTTTTTGTAGTGTGGTGATGTTTAAAGGAAGGAAGAATTGTAACAATGATTTTATTTTTATTTTTATTTAATCTTATTATGTATATATTTTTTTTTTTTTTTGTCGTCTCTTATTTTAAAATTGGGGTTTTCATCGTACTTCTCCTCCTCCCTCACGTCTTTCTCTCTCCTCACCTCTTTCTCCTTTCTCATCCTTCTCCATCTCCTCTTCTCTCTCTCTTCTCCTCACTCTTTCCTCTCTCTCTCTTAACGTCTTCCTCTTTTCTCTCACTCCTTTCTTTCTTTCTCTTTTTTTCCCTCTCTCTCTTTTCTTCTTTTTTCTCTCCTCGTCTCTTCTCTCTCTCTCTCTCCTCTCTTCCTCTCTTCTCCTCTCTCCTCTCTCGTCTCTCTCGCTCGCTCTCTCTCTCTCTCTCTCTCTCTCACTCTTTCTCTCGTCTTCCGCTCACACTCTTTCTTTTCTCTCAGACTGAATTACTTTCTTTCTCTTCCATCTTTCTTTCTTTCTTTTCTTTCTCCTCTCCTCTCTTCTACCCTCTCTCTCTCCTCTCTCTTCGTCTCCTCTCTCTCCCTCTCTCCTCTCTCCTCTCTCTCCCTCCCTTCGTCTTCGTCTTCACTCTCTTCGTTCTCTCTCACTCTCTCTCCCCTCTCCGCTCTACTATCCCATTTCTCTCTCTCTCTTTCTTCTCTCTCCCCCGAGCGCCGGATGTTGTATTGCCTATAGATATGCCGCCTCTTGCCCATGCCGCTGCCTCTCTCTCATCTACCCTTCTCTTCCTCTCATCTACTTCCGTAAGGGGTAAGAAACACGAGGTCAGGATAGAAGGTGAGTGGGAGGTGGAGGCTGAGTGAGGAGGGACTGGGTTCCAAGAAACGCTGCGCTGACCTCTTTGTGGAGGCGGGGTTGTGACCCCCTCAGGGTTGAACGATAACAACGTTGGGTCTATGTTTAGAAATCGCAGGGGCGGGGGGGGAGGGGGGGGTTCCACGCTGGCACCTTTGTGTCCTTGATGTCATGATAGTGTCCGTGCACACGTGTAACCCGCGAGGTCTGTGGGCTAGCGTGGTACATTGTGTTCATGTGGTCAGTGTGTTATCTTATAATCACCCCACTATTTTTTTTTTGGTTAGTTTTGACTTTTCTAAAGTGCATTCCCATATTCTTATGCAATTGGTATTTTTGTATTTATATCCTGTCTGTAGTTTATTACTATTGTTTGTATTACGTATTTTTTTTTTTTCCCTCTCCCGTATTTCTTTATCGTGTTTTTCAATCACTGTGGTTTTAATATCATTTAGTTTCCCGCTCACCCCATACACCACGTTGTTTCTTAAAACTCACTCTCTCCTTTTCTCTCCTCCTCCTCCTCTCTCTGTCCCTCTTTCCTCTCGACTTCTTCCTCTCCTCCTCTCTTTTCTTCTCTCTCACTCGCTCTCTTCTCTCTCCCTGTCTTTCTCTCTCTTTCTCTTCTCTTTTTCTTCTATCTCTCTCTCTCTCTCTCTCTACTTCTCTCTCGTTCTCTCTTCCTCTTCCTCCTCCTCTCTCTCTCTCTCTCTCTCTCTCTCCCTTCTCCCTCTCCCTTCTCCTTCCCCTCTCCTTCTTCTTACTCTCTCCTTCTTCTCCTCTCTCTCCTCCTCCCCTCCTATCTCTCTCTCTCACTCACCCCCCCCCCTCTCTCTTCTCTTTCTATATCTTTCCATCAAACACGCAATCAAACAGATGGATTCTTTCAAGGACTACGAGATCTTCCCAATGTCTTAACTACGGCTTCAGGTCGTATCAAAATCATATATATTACATATTCAACGAACCAAGCGAACCTGAACGGAAAGAAAGGGAAATTGCCGCTGTATTTGAGCTACTGTTTTGAGGTTTTTTGGATACTGCTGGTTTTGCTGAAAATTTGTATGTCTTATCTACTAACATAATTTTATATCTTATTCTGTCATTTAATTCAATATATATTTGTCTATCTCAATATTTGTGTCTATCTAAATATTTGTACTGGTCTATCTATATAATCTATATATCTGTCCTATCTAATATATCATTTGATCTGATTAAATATCTATCTAAAATCTATATCTAATTGTCTGTCTTTATTCACCTACCTATCTATTTCTTTTCTTTTTTAAGGTGGTCTCCAAAATAGAAAAAAAAAAACTATATATAAACAATAATCAAAAATACGAATAAAGACGTGAATTGTGATAATAAATCATGATATAAAAAAAAAAATACACAGCCTTGGGAACAAATGTGACAGTTGACCTTCGCATAAGGAATGAGGTGGAATGGCACTTTATTACAGGTACTATAGGAGTGCCAACGTGGAGGAAGACAAGTGCCTCCGTCTCAGGTTTTTCTCTTTCTCTCTCTTGTGTTTGTGTGTGTGTGTGTGTGGTGTGTGTGTGTGTCGTGTGTGTGTTGTGTGTGTGTGTGCGTGTGTGTGTGTGTTGTGTGTGAGTGTGTGTGTGTTGTGTGTGTGTGTGTGTGTGCGTGTGTGTGTTGATGTGTGTTGTGTGTGTGTGTGTTGTGCCTCTGTTGTTTTTTGTTTGTGGTGGTATGCGTATGGTGTGCGGGTGTTGTATGTATGTGCTCGTTTGTGTGTGTGTGTGTGTTTGTGTGTGTATGAATGTGTATATGAGCATGTATGGGTGTGCGTAAGTGCGTGCTTGCTTTGTGTGTGTATATGCGAATGGGCCTTTGTGTGTAAAACCGGGGCTGTATGGACATGTTGGGCATGTATGTGGTGTATGGGTGTGTTGTGTTGTTGTTTGTGTGTGTGTGTGTGTAGATTCATAACAGCTGTCATATTTCACAAAAAGACAATATACAATACCCCTGCGCAATCATGTGCATGTCCACGTACACACCTGGCATTTATTCACCAGAGCTCTTGCTTGTACCGGGAAAGTAAGAATGACATAAAAAAAAAAATCATATAAATAAAACAAAAATTCATTGCAGAATTTCCTGCACAGATCGAGTGAAGAGAAGAACATGTTTTAAACACGATTGGCGGAAACAGTAGGATTAAGCCCTAAAAAAGGAAGTCAAATGTTATTGTTGTTTGAAATCTTAGGTATAGGGGTGGCTGGGTGAAGGGGGAGGGAAGGAGGAGAGGAGGGGGAGGAGGGAGGAGGGAGAAGAGGAAGGGGAGGGGAGAGTATTAAGGAGGGAGGGAGGGGAGGGAAAAGGGAGAGCTTGGAGTAGAAGGGGACGAGAAGAGTTGGGCAAGGAAGGAGGAGGGAAGGGGGAGGAGAGGAGAAGGAGGGATGAAAGTGAGGAGAGGAGGGGGAGGGGAAACGGAGGGGAGAGTAACAGGTGTGCAATCTACCTGTGCCCCCCCCCCCGCATCTTCCCGCCACCTTCCGCGCCGCCGCCGCAGCGCCGCCCGACAGTGTCCCGGCCGCGCCTCCTTTCACACGGATGTCTGGCTCCGCCCACGACTGGGGGGGCGCCGCGGCCTCCCCCCCCTCACCCCTGCGAGCCTCCGAGCCTCGTGCTCGAGGACGACGGCGGCAGATGCTGGAGGGGGACCTCGGCGACGCCCCGACCTGCGCCCGCTTCCTCGACCGCCTCACCAAGGAGGAGTATTACAGCAGCAGCAGGTTCGCCATCGGCTACTCGGAGCTGCAGGCGCGCTGGGGCGGCGAGGCCTGCGCCGGGGCCGAGGGGGGCGACGGCCCCTCCCCCTGGGACTCGTCCTCCAGCTCGCCCTCCCTGGCGGCCCGGAAGCAGTCCCTCGCGCTCGCCCTCGAGGACGCGGCGCAGGACAACCTCCTCGCGCCGGGCGCCCGCCGGTTCTCCCGCCGCTGGTCCTCGTCCGCGGGCGCCTCGCCCCTCGGCACGCCCTCGCCCCTGCTCTCGGCGCCGCCCTCGCCCGTGCCCTCGCCGTCCGAGCGCCCCTCCGCCGCCTCGCCCGACTGCGCCTCCGCCTCCGGCTGCTGCACGGGGAGCAACGACAGCCTCGGCAGCGCGGCCAGCGCCTCCTCCGCCGCCTCCTCGACCCGCAGGCGGCGCAGCGGCCTCATGGACTCCCTCAGGCGGCTCTTCGGGGGCAAGAGGGCGGCCGCGAACCTGCCGCGGTCGGCGTCGGAGCAACAGGGGTGGGTTCCGTCGGGCAGGTAGCGAGGGCGCAGGTGTGCGGGGGATCCGTGTGTGTGTGTGTGTGTGTCTTTTGTGTGTGTGTAAGTATGCGTGTTGTTTATATCAACGAAGCAGAAGACGATCTTAGTGCGAACGAAAGAATTTAGCCTTTTAATATATTTCACTTTTTTGGCAAGCCCCCCCCTCGAGTCCCCGAAGTCGAGAACGAGGTGACTGCGAGCAAAGACACCCGTCTCCTTTCTCCCTCTCCATATCGCCCTCCAAGGTCGAGGACGACTCCCTTCAAACCCAGGTCATGAACTGTATCCATCTTGACAAATGTAGAAAAAGGTAGGAACGAGAATGGATATCCTCACAATACAAGAGATATATTCGACCGGTTTCGATTACGTCTTCGTCAGAAATACATAGAGATAGATAGATCATGTATTTCTGACGAAGACGTAATCGCTCAAATACATCTCTTGTATTTGTGAAGATATCCATTCTCCTTCCTACCTTTTTTCTACAAAACCAGGTCCTCTTTTCCACCCGTTGTAGTGTCAGATTCCCCCAGCACTAGCTTAGAGCAAGGACCATGAGCTGAGTTCGCTATGGACTGGCTCAAGGGGGACATGTAGGTCGGGCCTTGACCTTGAATCGGCCGGACTCGAGGGCGAAAGGGTGAGAGGAAGTCACGTCCGAGGGTGGTGTAGGCTCAAGGAGGACCTCCAAGAAAGAGGCGTAATATTTAGGAGATGGATGTCTGAGGCGTCTTGTTGGCCATTGTTTACAGTGTGTGTGTGTACTATGTTTGTGATAGATAGAGATAGACATATAAATAGATAGATAGATAGTGAGAGATAGATAGATAGAGAGAGAGAGAGAGAGAGAGAGAGAGAGAGAAGAGAGAGAGAGAGAGAGAGAGAGAGAGAGAGAGAGAGAGAGAGAGAGGAGAGAGAGAGAGAGGAGAAGAGAAAGAGAGAGGGAGAGCGAAAAGAAAAAGGCATAATATTTGCTCGTAGGAGATGGTTGTCTGAGGTGTCT